ACTTTGGTCAGTTGACACTAAATTTTTTAAAGATTGCTATTAGGCTTGGATTAAAGCAAATTAACAAAATTACGTTTATCTTATCAAGGAGACTGAAATCGACAAAATATCAAGAGACAACTTTTAATCGGCATTAAACGGTCTACACAATTCTGCTAACAGAAGAAAACTCCCAGTGACGCACATGTTTTTTTAGAAAAATATTCCACTGATAACCAATATGTACATCGCTGGTGAATCTGTCAACACTTTTTTAGCATTAAAATATGTTGCGTTGATAGTAACTTTGACTATCAAAATTTCACTCTAATAGCCAAAAGAATTTAGAAGAAAATTATGATAAATCATAAATCCATTGATAAGAAAAATAAATCTTATTTTTACATGCGGAATCTCCCCGCGAAAGATGGCACATGGTTTTAAAAAACACCCTGCATAAATGTAATGTACTGTAGGGATTTTGCATTATACAGGGTGGTCCGAATTGTATTCCGGAAACTTCGACCGCATATTCTGCACATTAAAATAAGTAAAAAAGTTTGTATAAATGTATGCAATAAAATGCTTAGTTTCGGAGGTACAGTGTGTAGAAATTTAATTTTTATTTTGATTACGATGTTTTTTACGTCAAAAAGGTCTTGAGGTAAAAATCGCTACGAGTAATGGTTCTCAAGATATTTGGAATCCAAATTATAAATACCTGTCATCATTGACATAAATTAAACATGTTTACTAAATAGTTATTAGACTAAAATCAAAAAATCATAAATTTGAAATGTTTTCGTAACAAAAGTTCAACAGAAACTGTCTTATCATAATTTTTTCGAAGAAAAATATTATAAGGATTTAAATAAAATTTCCAAATTTATCATCTGTTATATCATCAATATACTATCTACTCAACATGTTTATTTTTTGTTAATAATGACATGTATTGACTATTTCCATTCTAAATATCTTGAGAACGGTTGCGCATAGAGATTTTCACCAAAAGGTCTCTTTACGTACAAAACGTCGTAAATGTACATTTTTACTCAATAATGTAATACAGGGACGGGCAAAAATTGATTACTCTTTAAACCAGTTAAACAATCTGTGGGTGGCGCCTTCTAAAAATAGGAGTCATATTAACATCAAAATCAAATTTCTCATGACAAAAAACTCCCAGATACCAATTTTCATCCAAATATCGACTTTACTTCAGAAATTATTTGGAAAAAATCGAAATAAAAATGAGACTTCTACACCCCGTATGTCTCCGAAACTAAGAATTTTAGGACATACATTTATACGAACTTTTTTAATTATTTTTATCTGCAGAATATGCTGTCAAAGTTTCCGGAATATAGTTTGGACCACCCTGTATAGTATATGCAGCTATTTGAATTACTAATTATAGAAACAAGACAAATACATTTGTTTTCTACTGTAAAGCCAAGAATTTCCTTTAATTATTTTTTTTATTATGCTATTGTCTAGATTCATTTAAAAATAGTCTGAATCTTTACCCTTAGGTATACTACTAGTTAATGGTGGTTTTGTATTATATATTTAGATTTTTTTTTATTATAAGATGAAAAATATAATATTAGATCAATGATGCACATATTGTCCTGCCATATTTTGAACGCGGAAATAAAGCCAGATAGCGTTAAAGCATAATTTGTTTTCGCCATTTTAAATATAAACATAATTAATGAGTTCGAATTTGTAGCGACCGTTTGGCATCATAAATATCGTATTTCTTGCAGCTTCGGTTTCTGGTGACGGCGATTAATAGTCTGCAACAAGTCTGCAACAATGGATGTTAAAAAGTTGGTTTAACCTCGTTTTGCAAATCTATTCTTGGAGCGGTAAAAAATAGAAAAATATTGTGCGTATTTTTGGAGACATTAGATGGCAAGAAATTGGAGTTTTTTTAGATCAGCGTTGTGAGAAAAAAATATAATATCGAAACACATACTATTTTATAATTAGAAATATACGTATATAACATGCACGGTTTTTGACGTTTCTGCTCCTAAATTTGTTTTATAAGAAATGGTAAAATCAGATGTTTCACTAATTGATATTGATTATTGTTTCGATTTTATTACCATTTTTATGATCTCAAAATGCATCACACTTATCCGACAATTGTTGGTTGTCTTTTTATACACACAAATGATCTGTATAGACATTTCTTTCCAACACATTGTTTCTTATGGGAATCATTATCATCATTCATCATCATTTTCAGCTTATTCAACCATGTCCAATTAGGGTGTAGCCTCCCTCACATATTTAGATACTCCCTTTGTAGTTGGGCCCATTGTTGTCTATTGTTGGCTATGCGGGCTCAAGTAATCCCTGCTAATTTCCTAATATCATGGTCCCATCTCAGGTTCGGTTTTCTTCTAGGTCTTTTAATTCCTTGTGGGTACCATGCTGTAATTTTTGTGGTCCTTCTCCAATCTGTTGTCCGTTCTTCTTGCCAGGTGTCCTGCCATTTGAGGGCTTTGATTCTGTGGATGCTATCCATTATCTCATGGGAATATTCTTTATTATACATTTTGGACGAAAAACGTGCTACAGTATTGTGTTTGGGAGGTTATAAGTTTTTTAGGAAATATTTGAACAATTCAGGTTCCTCTTTAAAGAAATAAAATAAAACTCTGGATAAAAAAGTTGCTGGTGACATCTCGGAATTGAAACGTCAGGTTTAAAATCTAATGGTACCATCTTGTAGAGCAGAAAAGTAGCAACTACTGGAGTATGGAAATTGGTATTTTCAATTAGAGCCAGGATGCAATAATAACAAAATGGAAAAAATGGATATTTTCCAAATATATTCGAAAGTAAGGCACGAGGCAGCGTGTGCTCCAAATACTTTGGGTGAGCGTATATACCAATGTTACATTAGCGGGTACCAGGGCATGAGCTACAAGGGTAACGAAAAGGCATGCTTAAAAGGCCAAACAAGGCTCCTAATGCCATTCTGCGGCGTCGCGAAAGCAGTCACGAGAATGGCCAGAAAACGAAATTTCTAGAACGGTGGAGGAACTTACCAGGGCCAAAAAGTTCATTGTAGTAACAAGTAACATTTGCTAAAATTCACGGCAGGCTTGATAAGCAAAGACAGAAAGATAGTCAAAGCTGTAGTGGATTTACTAACAGAGGGCATTGTAAGCTGAATAGGCACCTATAACTAATGGGATTGACGGACGGAGCCATGTGCAGGTTTTGTCAATCTGAGGAAGAAACGACAGAACACATTTTGGGTGTATTCCGTTGCTTACCTTGGTTATGGTTTTATGTTCCGTTTCTATCGGTTTCCTGAAAGTTTTCTTATTACGAAATACGGTTCCTGAAAAAATTGGTTTTAACTGTCACCAAACTAACCAGCGCGAGAAGGCTGGGTTTTCTGGTTTTGTTTGTTAATCAATGTCATTTATGTGAGAGATATCAAGCAAATATTGGAAGTTCGAGAGAAATTCTCATTTAATTTTTAAAATTTGTTATAATATTTTATATCTACATCCAAAAGCAATAGAGGTAGGCAGTAAATGTAAATAAATTTTATTAACCAAATAGAATTACTTTTTAGGACCATTTAAACTTATGATGCAGCAATTGTTTCTTATAGTCAGGAACATTTAAAGAAAACATGAAAAACAAGACAAGTAATCGTGAATATTTTGTAAGCTATAAAAATATAAATATTGATTAGATTTGTTTATTTATTATTGATCTGTTTTAATATTGGACCTGCAAATCTTCACTTGAGCTGTCTAACGAGTTTAATAGTTTATTTATAAAGTACTTTTCAATATGAAACTCCATTGAAAAGAAGAAGCAAACGTAAAAGCAGAGACTAGGTACATTAAAAATGCATAAAAGATAAATTTTATAATAGAGGTATTGAAATTTAGAAAACGTCAACATTTGACGTTTACGATATTTTACCAAACCGTTCCGTATCAAACCGATGTTTTTCAGGAACCGCTCTTTACCGTAGTTTACCGGTCTGGTTCGCCTGGTTTTGCATCGGAATATAGCCTTTATCTCGGTGTGACAGCCTGGCAAATGTACAGTTCGCGGTAATAGGTAATGGTAGGTCTTTGACAGAGAGTTATTTGGATGGTTCACTCTCCAAGTTGCTAGATTTTTTGAAAAGTATAGGATTGGAGCATGTAACCTAAGGATCAGAAGAGGCTACAATAGATCTGGTCTATAAAAGATCGCAGTGGATCAGGCAGATCCAGCCACCTCAAAAAATCTAAAGCACGGAGAATTATGATTTAAGATGATGTCAAATATGTTTAGAGTAGTTTGATTTCTAAACAAGCCTCTAACTACTGTGTAACGATACATTAACTACTATGCTGTATCCTTTACTAGCTAAGACTAGAATTTAATTATTACTTCTTGTGTAAATAGTAGTCAAAAACAATGAAATAATTCTGAAATCAAATTTCTACTACGTTAGTATATGACAATGCTCATCGTGGGTGTTAAAAATATAAACAAATAACTATTCAGAGTAACATTATAACTTATTTGTTAGTAGCCATAGAGCTGTTGGTCCAATGAAAGCCTCACTAGTTTCTTTATAAATATCCGCATCCCATATTTAGAACAAAATGTATTTTCTTTTAATTAGCCGAGTGTTTTTCCAACAGACTCTTCGCTAAAACATCTATCCTTTTAATTTTCTAGGCATATTCAATTACAGGACCTATTTTTAAATCCGTCAATGCACCTTTGTGTTTGTCTCCATCTATTTATAAAAGCCTGAGAGGTATAGAAGTACACTATAGACCGTCTCTCGGTCACTTCCGTGTAGTTATTTTTTTCTTCTCCTGCCACCTAGAAACTCCAAACGACACTACCTGCAGCTGCATGCACTTCTGCCAATACAATAAAAACAACCTTTCTCTATCCCCAATTGATGTTGGATTCTACTTTTCGGAAGTGGGGTTTCTCTTTGGAAAGGTGCGCAACCTGAATCAGTTGCGTGTCGCCAAGTGGAACGTGTAATTATTTTCTTCTCTAATTAGTTTATTTCAAATGAATTTTAATTGGTATTAGTGCCGTATATTATGTGCATTCGTCAGGATTCGTGCAGGATCTTACTCAACGATTTTTTTTCAAGTTTTAGCTCAGTTCATTTTACTTCTTCTCCTTCCTGGATTTATAGTTTGTTTTAGGTAAACAACGATGATTGGTGACTGGTTGAATTATTTCTGGCTGTTGTTTTTCCGGTATCTTTACTACCCGAAAAATGCTATCGAAGGGTGAGTGTCATCTGCTGAGCATAAATGTTAAAATAAATTTCTCAGTCAATAATGAGTCCTTAACGTCTATTACGGTTTTATAGTTTCAAGATTTAGATCAATTTTAAGCACGTCGGTGTAACGGTTCTGTTTTAATAGCAGCATAAAATGCGGATTATTGCTTAGTAGTCCGTGAATATGTTGGAATAATGTATTTTTCTGGCACCAAAACATAATCTTAAAATTCCAAATTGAAATTGAGATGGTAAATTTAGAATTCACACTACTAAATACAATTTACTTATAACAGTTTTGTGTAAACATAAAATAGCTAATGTTTTATTGTTTTGTTTATGCGATTTTAATTCTTTATGGCATGACATGGAAATAATTAGATCGGGTCAGTGACAAAGTTGTAGCAAATGAAAATAAATAAAAATACTTGAAAATATTCTTGGTGAAAATTAGGCACAAATAATATCTATGAAAAATATTTGATGTGCAAAGAAAATTAATAAAAATGACAGATTGGTAGATTGGTATCTTAATGTAAGATTAAAGTTTAGAATAGTTTAGTGAATAAGCTATAAATTTTGAAATTAAATTATTTTTGGCTAATCTAGCTTTGACTAACAGTAATTTTTAATTTTAAGTAGTTTATGTTAGTGAAGATATTACTCAAATATTGCAGTATTTTTTGGTGTTGGTTTAGTTAGTTTGGGTTTTTGTAGTTAGTCTTTGAACTGAACCTCATGCATCAATATATTCTTTTATTCCAAACTCAATTTTACAAATTTTTATTTAAAAAATTTTTTGTTAAACTTTTTAAATTTTTGTTATATTTACTCGAAATATATTATAGACAATAATTGTTATTATTTTTTTTTTAATTTATTTTTATGTTTGCTAATTTTTTTGCATTCAGTTGGATTTCAATTTTGAATCCGCCATAACAATAGTTTTTTATGAATTCTTATCAAAATAAAATTACTAAATCCAAATTATCTATGAAACATTACAACATGGTTTGAAGTATATTTTTTAAGTATATACTATTTTTTAGAATATTTTTTTTAAATATAGTCTGCATTTAATTTTTTTGCAGATTTATACCAACAGTGCGATGTTATGATAATTATATATTAATCTAGTAACTAAATGCTAAAAGTATTTTTTTATTTTCTCAAACAAATATTTTTGTAATATAATCATTTTTTGAACTTCTATATAATTTAGAAAATTATGTAAATATTAAATATAAATCCATGCACGCAATGCAAAACCCAAACCCATGCAATATAAACCCATCACACGAAAATGTAGATTAAAAATTAATTATTTGTATTTTCTTTTTACAGTAACAATATTAAATATTCTCTTATAGCTGTCCTCGGATGCTTTATAGTGGATAGAGCAAATTTTAGTGAAAGGTAAAACGATATGTGATCAAAAAATGTGGTGTTCTACATAAATTCATCTTCGTTACCAAATTTCAATATAAAAACTCATGTTGCGCTTTCATATTTCAATATTCCAAAGACAGTTTTATAAACGTATAATATTTAAATTTATTACAGTTAAAATTAAATCAACGTATACATTAAACATTTGTTGCTAATATAATTTGATTTGTGTGTGAAGTATGAAAGTTGTTGGCCAACAAGATATAAAAATGAATTACATCAGTTATTTTGGGATGTTTTAAATTCAATTCAGAGAATGTTATTGCGCCACTTGTTTTGTTCTAAAGTTCAGTGATACATTTTTTAGACGGTATTGAGCATTAAGCCAATACAGTTAATTAAGTCTAGATGCTTCATTAGATCTAATAAAATAATTATATTTTATTATTAATTGTATACAGGATGTTACTTAATGACATGCTAATATATAAGTAGGTGATTCTTGGACCTATTTTAAGAAAAACCTTCATATGAATATATCTCCTAAACCAGGGTTGGAAAAAATCATGATAATAAGAATCAATCATAAAAAAAAATCAAAAAAATAAGATTTTTTTTATTTAAATTAGATTTTTTTGATTTTAATTCAAAACAACATTTAAATAGGATTTCCAAATGACTAGGACTTATTTTCAATTAGAGACCTATCCTAAATGGTTAAATCTTTATAACTCTGCCCGATACCGGCAACATTAACAATTCTACGGCGCGTGTTTTTTTCCACATCGGTCACCAATATATTCTGCAAAAAAAGTCGTTCGCTTCAGATCAAAAAGGATTTTTTCAAACGTCTTAAAACTATTAATTTTTGTCATTTTAACGTCTAGGCATAAAAGTAAGGCACTGTTACGTCTAAGCACAAAAGTACAAAAATATTTTATTAAACTGATATTAAGTGTCAAATTCAACGAGTGTACAAATTGTTGCTCGATTACTGTCTATATTATTTGCAATGTTTGAAATTGATTAAAAAATTATTTGTAATGTTTAAAAAAAATATTATGTTCTATTCGGAGTAAAAATGTACTTTTTGTACCTCCCTGTACCTGTACCTCCCTGGACGTCGAAAGGTACAACATCGTCAAAAAAAGTATAATTTTTACTCCTAATATAACAATACACCATTGTTCTAAAATAGTCTTAAATCGAGAATGAAATTAGTATGTTTTATCTAATGTCAAAGTGTAAAGTACTTACTGCAGACCAAAATGTCGGTAGGAATTTAGAAACATAAAATAACCGTTTAAAAAAAATAAAACAACATATTTTCTGACGATTATAGATTCTCGGGAATGAAGATATAGTCTCTATATTAGAAGAACCTAGTTCTGAACTAGATTTTGCGAATGATATGTATTTGAACAGCGAATTTATGTCACTTATATGCATAAATTTTAAAATAAATCCCTGCGTTTAGCGGTCTAATGGATTCACATGAAATTACTTCAAAAATCGGCTAAACATTTAAATTGATGAATATATATTTCTATAAAGTTTTATAACATTTACAATTATTTTTCGTTTTATTAACTGTTATATCTGTTATAGAAATATTTTTTATAGTTTTCTAGGACACGTTTTTATAACTTTTACAGTTATTTTTTGATTTATTATAAAGTTTCAATAAAATTATTTTTTTAATTTAAATCACATGATTAAAATTAAAAAAATTACTTGATTTAAATCATTTGATTTAAATCATGCCAACCCTGTCCTAAACAACTTAACATTTCAGATACAGGGAGGTAAAATTTTCAAATTTTGTATTTCAAAATATCTCTAATGTTATATTTGATACACGTCTTCCATGCATCAAAAAACATATTTTGATATACAAAAAAAAATGTTTTATTTCTTAATTTCCTTCCAGCCGATCGATGCAGAAATGATTTCCACACAAGAGTCACTGATGCATCAGATTTTCAGCGATTTGACCCTGAAATAAACTGGTTTTATTTTTTTAAGCAAATACTATGCATCGGATGAAAACAAATCAAGAGATAAAAAAATATTTAGAAATGAATGGAGATTTTTAAGAAAAACATTATTTTAAGAGAATAAAACCCATATGGACGGTTCTGGTTGAAATAAATACGATTCCTTGTACGCCAAAAAAGACATTTTGATGGATAGAAGACGTGTATTAAGTTTCATAAAGATATCTGTCATAAAATCAGAGTTATTGAGAAAAAAAAAATTTTTTAGAAAATTTTACCACCTTGTATCTCAGAAATTAAGATGTTTAGGACATACATTCACATGAAGTTTTTCTCTTAGAATAGGTCTAAGAATCACCCCTTTAAATATTAGCATGTCATGAAGGAACGTTATGACATGTTATAATGAGTAGATAAACCAGGGCGGTACAAGATATTTAGTACCGAAGGTGGCGGCCCATTTGGTGTCGGTTTATATAGCTTCTCATGCTTGTTGAAGTGGTAGAGGTGCCGTTGGCTGTAATAACAGATTGGTTTTAACCGCTCTAGAGTGGTTAAAACTGGCTTGTTATAACAGCTAACGCTTAAAACCGAGCTGTAATTACAGCTAACGGTACCCCTACAACTTCAACATGCCGAGATTTATATAAACAGACTCCAAAATACCGTCATCTTGGCTTCTAAATATCTCGTATAGGCCTAGTTTATTTACTATAATGTTATAAAATGGATCTACTTGTAAATTTTATAAATAACATTTTTTTAAAATCATTGGCAACTGGATACAAAATGATCATTTATTATCATATTTATTATGTTTTAGGTAAATTACCAACAAATTTATATGTTAGTTATTATCAGCAAAATGTCGACAAATCTCAAAACTACTTAAAAAAGATGATTATAATCAGCAAAATCCACCTTAGTCTTCTCTCGTTTTGGGCCATAATTGTGGTCATAATCAAGGAAAGTTTTTCTTTTATTTTATTGTAGTTCTTTGGTTGCTTCTTGCGAGTTAATGTCAACTAAATGAATGAAGTTAAATTATCTCTTAAAAAAACTCAATTTATGTTCGGTACATCCCAGTTCTACAAACAAATATTAGGTGGAGATGAAAGTAACAAAAAAGTAGAAAAAAGTTACTAAATTTTATTCTGCAATTATCGTTCCCGGCGTTTTCATAAAAAAAAACTATATAGTTTGATATATACCCTATGGTTTGATATGCCTTTTTAAAAGTTGCTGTGACTTACGATATTTGACTTACGATTTCATTCGACCAGTCAAAATTCTAGTAATAGATACATTGCTCTTGTCAGCCGAAAATTGAGGTAAAGTTCTTCTGCGTCTGTGCTTGCAGTCTCAGTACTCACAAGACGGCAACCTCTAGGATTAGATTTTTTGAGGTGGCTCGTGATGAGCGAGATTTTTTCTATGTACAAAGTGCATCTAGTAAACATCTATTAAAACACCAGTCTTGGAGTAAGACCCATGACCAAGACCAATACCAAAAGAGTCCATTTGTTCATCACTAGAGGTGGTTATTGGTCTATTCCACTGTGACCTTTATATGTATATTGTGATTCTTTTTTGATTTTTAGGTTACTAGTAGAGTGGTTTAAGCCCTTATGGGATACAAACCTCGGAATTCATTTCCTGTGAACGAATTTTTATAAAACTTTTTGCATTGTATTGTTAATAAGATATATTACAAAGTTTATCCATTTAAATTCGTTGCTTTCACTTTAGTATTTAAATAAACACATATACACAAATGCATACATACAAGATGGCTCCACATTCCGGAAAAGCTCTGTATCAGGATTCCTATTTGAGATTTTCACTTCAAACTTTTTACAAAATATGTGTTTAATGGTAGTTTACATTTCCAAAATATTTTTATAGATATACAGGGTGAGTCAAATTCCGGTTTCAAAAATATCTTAATACCATAGAGTATATTAAGTGGTTTTTGAATTATGACCAAGTTCGTGAGGACGTCAATCTAGACGTCCAGGGACCTTCGTATGATAACTCCTAATCGAGACGATCGACTTATTGTCAGTTTATCGCTAAGAAACCGCCGTTTGCCAGCTTTTCAAATTGATAATGAATTGCACTTAAGGAACGTACATATTAACTAACGGACTATAAGAAGAAGATTAAATGAAGCAAATCTTATGTCGCTTCGGGACCAGAACTTACTAGATGTGTTGACTAGGCCCAAAAGCAAAGGCATGGTCTTAATGTAAAAAATACGAAAAATGTTAGTGTCTTCTTCAAAAGCGAATATTTCCAACAAAAATAAAGCTAATGAGATGAACCAAAAAACAAACCATCGAGAAAGGATGGTTCTCTAGCTGTTAAAATGATTTTCAAATTTCTTGCTGTTTTAACATATTCCACAGGGCGTTTCAAACTTTCACCAAAATATCAACATTCTGTTTTCCCTCGTATAATTATTAAAAGATGGGGAGTATCATTTTTAATTTAGGAAAAGATACTAAAAAGTAAAAGAATTGGGCTACACACTGCTTAAAAAATCATCAAAATCGGCCCATTAAAACAAAATATATTAATCTTTACATCAAAGTTTTAAGGTGACCATTTTTCGTGCATGTGAATATATTTCAAAAACTATACATTTTAGTCATATTCTTTTCTAATAAAACAAACCTTTATTTTTTTACTAGAATCCAAAAATGAATTAATATATAGGGTTGTTCATGTTCCATTACAAAAAACATAACTTTGATGTGTAATTTTTTTTGGGGACACCCTGTAGAACTCTACATAATTTTAGAAAATGCATTAAGTTGACTTACATAAGCTCACAAAATTTCACTTCAACACAAACTTTTGTTCTCCTTGTAAAAACCGCGTCGTATATGACACCACCCTGTATAATTCGATTTCAATCAAAATTTCAATGATTAGAATACAAGCAGAATAAGTATAGCTTATGCATTAGATTTATTTATTTCAATAAATTTACTTAGAAAAAGAATTAGAAAAATCAAAACATTAAGAAGGAAATAATTAAGAATTTACTAAAATTACTAAAATAAAAAATTAAAAGCAACGAAAAAAAATGGGTAAACATTTTAGTATTTTATCTATAAAACTCAATACAGAAGGTTTCACATTCATACATTCACAGTAATTGAATTCCGAGATAAAAGTCTCTGGGCACTCCACTATACATTCTTTAGTCATATTCTTTTCAAAAATTCTGATAACTTAGACACCTTTCCATTGCCATAAAATGTGTCCTGCCATTTTGTTTATTGATTGACGAAATTTGCACATGGCTTCATCCACCAATCCTATCAACTTTATGGATTCGTTTCGAGCTTGCAGTGCACTGTTAGGAAACCAACTACTGTTTTTGATAATCATCATTTCTTTTAGTATGAACTTCTTAACTGTTTGTCTGGTGACTTTGTCCATTATTCTAAAGATTTTTTGACCACACTACAGAACAACATAGTATTCGGCCGTATTAATATATTTATAGAATATCTGCTTATAATGAAAATAAATGCAGCTGTTAATATTTACAAATGCCGTTGAAAACCATCGCGATGTTACACGAAAGTTCCAGAATATCCAATATGAAGATAATATGTCTTCTTATTTATTACGCAAACCTTGCAGCAACTTCAAAATTAAAATCGGCCGATTTTATTTATGAGTCCAGCTGAACCGATGCTTGGACACTAGCCAGATACCCGACGTGGACAATATGTATATTTATTTTTTTTAAGCTGGTCTTATAGCCTGAAAAAAATAGTTAATTTTAGTTTTGTATCCGTGGCAATGTTGGGTCGACTTCTGGTTATCTGGGCCAAACGAATGCATAAAAAATACGATTTGTTGTGACAGATAATTAATAAACATCAATATAATAATATGACTTGTAAGAATAATATACAGATTGTCCGAAATTTGGTCATTGGTATCTCAAATTCAACGTGTTATATATGTATAAAAAAGTTTACTTTACTTTCGAATATATCTGTATAGTGGAAAAATTCTTAACTATTTTTAATTAGACTTCATCTAGGTAGGTTAGGATAGGTCCCTGGGGTTTGGGATCATGTCTGATCCCGCAAAAAATCTTGCCCTAAAGTTTTAAAGCGTCGGTATTCCAGTGGCAGACAGTGGTACAGCAGGTGCTATATGGTTTCTTCTTCCTCTCCACATTCTCTGCAGTAGTCGGCGTTGGAAATCTTCCATCTCACGAGGTTTACTCCCGTGGAGCAGTTTCCAGTGATGACAGCTACAATTATGCGTACTAGGTTCTTTTTGTGTTCTAGTAGTTGTTTTGCCTTTATGCTATCTACCACTGGCTACAGTCTTCGAGCTGTAGCGCGTTTTCTGGTCTACCAGATATGGACTCGTGTTTGCCATGATTTTCCTTATCACTGGCAATATCCTGGAGTGACCGTAGTTGGCCTGGTTCCACAGACTGGATTCCTATAATCTTAGGGCACCCTTTGAGGCCAGATCCTTCACGAGCCAGTCGATTAATTGTAAGGCCAGAATTACTTCTAGAGCAGCTTGCGCTGTGTTGTTTCTTGCTCCAGTTGTACCTAGAGCTGCTAGTCGGTGTACTTTTGTGAGGCTTTTTCTATTACTTTCTTTAAGTACCGCTTCCCACCATACTAGTGATCTATAGGTAATAATTGATCTAACTATAGCAGTGTACAGTGTCCAGTGTATAATGTACGGCTGCAGACCCCATCTTCTTTCAAACAGTTTCTTACATGCATAGAATGCATTTGTTCCCTTTATCATCCTTTCCTCCTTGTTCCTTTTCCAGGAAAGTTTCGAGTCCAGAATGGTTCCTGAATATTTTGTTTCCTTAGCAAGTGCAAGTGTCTTTCCTTCCAGCTTTGGTAGCGTTCAGTATCTTGTATTTTCTTGTACACAGAATGAGTTCGGTTTTGTCTGGGTTGATGCTCAAACCATTCCTTTTTATCCATTCTGTTAGCTTCTTCAGAGCATATTCCATCTGATCACTGATCTGCGGGCCAACGATCAGTATTACCACGTTGTCTGCATATGCCGTTATGTCCTAATTCCTTTCATTGTCAGAGAGGTCAGGATCGGGTTCATTACAATTTGCCACAGCAGAGGTGAATACCCCTCTTTGTGGCGTGCCTCTTGTTGCGCGCTTTTTGGCTGAGCTACTTCTTAAAAAAATGATTAAGTTTTCGACTATCTTTTACATTTTTAACAATGATCATAATATAATCCTATTCATTTAATTATTATTAATTGCTATATTTAGCAAATATTTTGCATGACCACTGATATATACCGCTAAATAATGCTTTTGGAATGTCAAGCTTTTCAGAAGTCTATAATAAATCTATAAAGGTCTATAACTATAAAATTCTGTGGCACATTTTTACGAAATATTGAGACATAAACAAATACGTTTTTGAGACACTGACCGCAGTGACCGCTACCCTGAAAATAATCCAAACAATCCTTTAAACTTATTTGTCGATGATTTTGAAAGTCTGATTTTTAAAAGTAATTAATTAAAGAAAGGTAGTATAGCTATTTCAATGGTGTAAAATGATTTTCTTTGTTTTTTGGTACCAATCTCAAAACATATTATACGCACTCTCTGTTGGCACACCGAACAGGTTCGACAATTTGTTGAACGTTTTTTTTTATACTTTTGACAAACCTGGAGTTTCGCATTATGTTTATTTATAGACATACCTTAGGAAAAAGGTCGGAAATAATTGCTAATTGATATTCAATAAATGTCGAGGGTAGATTTTTTTCCTCCTTCAAACGCACTAGATTATTTTTGGACCAGTTCTTTTGTGATGTTGAACAATTGTGATGTCAAACACGTAATTAGCTCAATGTCTGCAGTGTTTTTTAAAAATATTTTTACCAGATGACGTTTCACTTTGAACACAAAATTTACTTCTACATATAATAAAAATGCTTTATTTATATTTAGAGAAACATTCTATGGCACTTCTCTAATAATAGAGAATACCTGCTTCATCAACATTAAATCATCTACCACGTTTTTTATATTATTCTCAATATCAATTCAAAGGATGCAAATCGCAATAAAAATTTGTTTCACATTTATAGTTACATTCTAATACATAATTATTCTTTTAGAAAAACAACAGCACAATTTCCTGAAATTGAAGACTTTGCCAACAAAGTAGAAGATAAACGGAATAGGGAACACAGCACCAATATGTCGAATATGCAAGTATCTGTGCCCCAACAAAGTGGAGAAATTGTATCTGCTAACAGAGAGGAAGACAGTGAATGTGTAGAGGAAACTACTTTGACAGAAGTAAGTATCCATTAACAGTAGCAAACTAATTTAATTCAAATAATATAATTGAATAAGACGTCTTAAAGTCATGTCTTGGCATAATTAATAATAGTTTTGTGGAACTGTTCATGCAAATTTCTGCAATGCTATGACAGCCTCCTCCTCCTTCCTATTACTCTATGGGAGTATTGTGACATTATGAAATCGAAATTATTGTGTCTCTTCATGTTGTTATGTCTTGCGCGGCAATACTGGCCTTGTGCAGACTATGACCTATTATCGTTTTCATTTGGTCTACCCAACGGTTTGGAGATCTGCTTGGATCTTAGTAGTCTTAGTTTGCTGCTAATTGAAACGGCTCAATTTTTCCATATTTTATTAACTTTGATGATGGAATTGCGGGCTATACACAGTCTTCTCTTGATTTCTGCATCGCATCCTCCTTTTTTTAAGATCAAAGATCAAAGAGACTACTTTTCTATATACCTAGAAAAGTAGTTTATGATAGCATAGTTTTCTAGAAAGTATATTAAGATCAAATTAATTATAGTCTTTCTATTTTAAGTTAATAGTAAATATGATGAATGGTACTAATATTTTAATAAATTATATGAAAAAAAAATAATTAGGCCTAATAATGCTATTGCATCTTAAGTTCCATATTGTTTTATAGATGTTTGTTATTAATTTTAATTAACTTCATATGTTTTTACTGTTTTAATATTTTGTTAAAGAAGCACAAAATTTATAATCACCTTTTTCGTTGCATTGAGCTAAATAAATACTGTGCTTCTATAACATATTAAAACAGCAAAAAATATCAAGTTAATCAAAATTAGTAATAATCATCTACCAAAGAATGAAAACCTAAAAATGATATTACCATGGAACCGATTTGATTTTTGAGACTTAAAAGAAGTATATCCATTTTCATGATTTTTATATTTTTCTCTAAAACGGTAAAGAACTTGTAAAGGAAGATTGTAAACGGGATTATAGTGTAAACGGGATTATAATGATTTTAGAACAAGCAAAGCGAAACTTTTATGAAGAATGCATTTTCCTCAAAATGTTAATTTAAAAAAATCCTCATGTAAAGACAATCTGGAGACCTACTGTAGATTAATTTTTATTATTTTTTAAATATTTGATTCGTATATAATAAACTATATTTGATCATTTCTTGATATTCATAAATTATTCTACTATTTTTAAAAAGTTATGTACCCATATAAAAATAATAGTTAAATGAAATAGAAACAATAGATATGCGTCAAAGAAACAAATTTAGAAAAACCACAACATTTATTACACCTCGGAATGATGTCTTACCAACTATTCGTATACATTGTTTTTCAAAAGAGTTAAAAGCAGACCAGAATACATAAAAATGCAGTAAATCTGTCTAGTAAATTTTTCCTTGCCAATTGTTATTGACCTATGTTTTAGAGAATATATTTAAATCCAGTTCTTTTCTTATATAGCTTTTAAACTCAACGCATATATATGCAAGGGTCTTAAATAAGATATCTAATAAATATATATGTTTTGGGGTTGAACATTAAGTTTGTGAACAATTATTATTCAAATCAATCAGAATTGGCTTCTTCAATTAAAATATTCTTGTCCGAAAGTGACATAATTCTGAATACACAATATAAGACACAATATAAGTTGATATATTCTCTATATCTTATTACGAAATTTAATTTAAACGCATTTTTATAATACCTGCCGAATTTACAACGTCAACAATATCAACAAATAATTTTAGTTACACCTAAAAACACAATTGTAACAATTCCACAAGATACAATTCCCTTGTTTCAAATTTGAAATTAATGCAAATTTTAAAAATTAGTCCGATGCCCTTCTACCACACCTCTCGTTTGCTCCACTGTCCATCTCTAAGGTTTCTGGCACTCATGGCCTTATTTATTCCTTCCATCCAGACTTTCTTTGGTCTTCCTCTCCTTCTAAGGTATGGGGGTATTCATTCCATCACTCTCTTAGGATGTCTTGAATCCTCCATTCGCTGCACGTGATTGCACCATATTAGCTGCTTGTTTTCAACTTCTTTTGTCAGCGGTTCCTCTAGTCCAATTAGCGCTCTGACTTCTTCATTTCTCCTCTTTTCTAGTCTGTATATCCCGAGAGACCGCCTAAATACGTCCATTTCAACTGCCTCTATTCTCCTTTTATTATCTCCTATATATTATATTTTCGCGTCTTTCCTATTTCTTTACTCCACAATACATTGTTGAGTCACTCTTTCTCACAATTTTTTTGTGAATCGAAGAGATCTAGGTCATTTTCTATTCTTCAGGGACTGGATGTCCATTTGGATATTTATTATAAGAGGTTAGTGATCATTTTATACAGCTTCTTTGTTTCACATTTAAGTAGTTCTGCGGGAATATTTCCTGAACCGGGTGATTTTCCATTTTTGAGTGTTTTTATAGTTTGCTCTATAGTTTTTGGTTCCACTAGTATTTCTACGCCATCTATATCTATTGGTTACGATATTCTTGTCTGTCTTCAGTTAAAAGCTTTCTATAGTGATCAACCCATTCTTCCATCGATTACTGGATTCCAAAAATTTAAAATACAAATGTTCTTAACTATACTTAATTATATTATTTATAAAGGGTGTTATTATACGTAAAAATATTTTAAGTTAGTGTCTCCTTTTTGCTGCTAAGTTTAATTTAGATGAGGTGTACTTTGTTTACGCGGAATCCGAACTGCGGTCCTCGGCCATAACATTGTTAATAGCCTACCGACTTGGCGAATGTTTAAATCGACTCTTACTCACGAGATATTCGATCTCATCTGGCGTCGAACCGGCGTGAAGGAGCAGTGTTTGTCAATAGATTTTACACTCTTGTCATGAAACAACAGCACGACAGAGTTTAACATCACATCGTATAATGTCGATTAACATCGGTGAGCTGTTGGAAACCGGTGTTTCGACATAGCTGCAACCCAATTCTTGACATCATTTGCGAGTTACATTAGATGCGAGTAACATTTGCAAGTGGTTGCATTGGCAAGATGCAAGTGGTTGAAGATGCGTGAAGGGTTTTGTAGAAGGACCGGTGCTTTAAGAATTATTGATAACTTACACAGAATAGATTGCGCAATATATGTATAGATGTGTAAAATAAATTCACTCTAGATAATTCTTTATTACTCTGTTTATCTACATCTAATGCAAATTCATCTGAGAAAACACTGTATAGATAAAAAATTTCTAGTCAGACTTCAACTCTAAATTGACTTTTCCGAAGGTCTAAAATTAGAAACACCTACAAAGTAGCTACAAAACCGCTAATTGAACGTTGGATGTTTTCCTTCCGTATATTTGAAATCAACCAGAAAGCATTTAGTATATTTTCCAGCCGTGTTATACGGCATGTTTATTTGAAATAATTAGCCTCGGTTGAAATACAAGCGCAACAGATGTAAATGAATTGAAAGTGGCAGTAAACAAGAAAAAAACTACAAGGATTCGGGCAGAAAATACTACCGGATAAAATTAGATTTTCAGTGGTACTAAATTGATATGCGCCCAGGAAATTATATTAGACTTTTAACTGCCGTTAAGTTATTGCCACAACTGTTTGGCTGCTAGATCTTACATTTAGAATGATCCTTAAATATTTCTACTTAATGGTATTTGAAATTCATTTATTAGGTAGAATGTAGAAAATTAACCGCAATCTTTAGAAAACATTGCCACTAAAACGATATTTTGTTTTATACAGTTTGTCTCTGGATCGAACTAACTATATTAATAAAGATTATTATTTAAAATCCACATGAAAACTTAATCAGAGTTTTCCCGAACCTAAATCCCAAGAAAATAAAAAAAATCAGGATTATTATTTATATAGTTATATATATTAGTTTTTTCAATTATTTTGTTTTTTTATCAAAAATGTGATTCTACATGTCATATCAATTAACGATAATTATTAATAACTAATATTAATTATTAATATTAATTAAGTAATCGAGATCGCGATTTTTAAGTTCATTGTTGCCAGCCATGGACATATTCGGCGCCGTGCTGACATGCGAAATTTAAATTTCGCGCTGGGGATTTAGATGGTAGCTCTGCAGTAAAAAATGTCAAGTTGCCGCATTTATTTATTTATTTCCTGACAATGTCATTCGTTTTCTCACTTCAGTTTTGTATTTCGAGTTTTTGCTTTAAATAAATAGTGTTGTGATACTTTAAGCTAAAAATGTTTACTAGCAGACCTTGCAGTCGAACATTGTTCTTTTTAGAACTTCTTTTAGTGCGAAGTGTACAAGATAACTTAATAGCTTAACTTAATTGAAATATAACTTAATATATAAATAATATTGTAACTTATAATATAAATAACTTAATTGAAAATGTTTACTATCCAACCCAAACCTTACCGTCGAACATTGTTTAGGTTAGGCCTTTTTTAGTCTTTCTATAATTGGTGTTAATTTTTGATGAGTTTTATATCCGCAAATGACCTCTAGATATTGACGTTGCCAAAATTATCATCCATTGTCATTCTACCGTCTTTGACTTCGTTTAGCATTATAAAAAATAAATAAAAATATTCCTGGCCGTTTTGTATATCCATAAAGCATTAAGCAGTTTAATTAGATGTTTTTTGATTATACATCACGGAGGAACTAGAGTATGTCGTGATAAACCTCCGGAGGAAACTTAATCGACCATATATATTCCCGCGAATTCTCAAATGTGGCCGTATGAATGTCGCATCTGACGTTTTTACGCACCTTTTAATTGGCTGTTGCTACCTGTGCCAGCGCAAGTGTTTCTCGCATTTATTATCGCAACGAATGTGCAACACTATCCAGAGAGGCTCGGATAAAGAATTAATTGGTAAATATGGCGGTTTTAATGGTAATTTATTGTTTTAGATGGCTTTAAAGCGCCCTAGTTATGTTTGTTAATTTAGATCGTGTTCCAAGGTGATGTTGTAACATTAGCATTATTTTTTTGTCGAGCAAAATCAGAAAACATTTTAAAAATAAGCTTTTCTCATCCGCCATGACAAACCATCTGTTTTTCTTATAGTAACGTAGCGTTAATAGTAATAACATAATTGTAAGTAAAGTCTTGGGTAAACTCTATCATCAAAAATCTAACATCAAAAACTTAGAATGTGATTATCGGTTGCGAGTGAGTTACTGTTGAAATTCTTCTTCTTAGAGTACCTGTCCGCTACTGACGCTGGCAATTATACTGGCTATAATGATTTTGTTGGTGGCAATCCGGAAAAGCTGAGTTGAGACGTCTTTTCGAACCAGAATCTGAGGTTCGCGAGCCAGGAAATTCTCCTGAGTCCTGGACGTCGTTTCTCTTGATTTTGCCTTGGAAGAGCTCATACCTTCGTTGTTTCTTTATCACGTGACCTAGATATTGCATCTTACGGCATTTGACGATATTGATGTCCATAGTATTCTCAGAATGCTCCTAAATAGCAAGAGATCGAATGATCGGAGTTTTGATATGGTATCCTCCTCCAGATGTATGATTCAACTATACAGGAGAACCGAGTAGACATAGAATTTTAGGAGTCTAACTTAGTAGTTTACTTTATTTTTAGAGTTAGGTGTGGTTTTTAAAGATTGCGCTCATGATTAAAAATGTACTTTTGGCTTTTCCAATTCTGCACTTGATTTCTTGCGAATTGTCCCACGATTCATTGTGCCCAGGTAAATGAAGGGCCCAGAGGAAACATTTTATAAGCGCCATTTTTCTAATTTTACAGGGGAGCACCAGACGGCCTGTGGTTCGTTCCGTGTACTGTATATTTTCACTAGGCATATATCATAGGTTTTAACAACTTATAGGTTAGGTTATTTGTATTTATGTCGAGTTCATACTTCTTACTAGTTTTTCTTACATTGTTCACCAGATTCTGCACGTTTACGAACCCAAACTGATAGGGTGCAATTTGCTCTTCACATATTCGGTATAATCTTCTATGAATGACTTTTAGGAACAGTTTTAGAAAGTGACTCATTCTTTGGAAGTGTTATGAACTCTGATTTCAATCACTCGACTGGGGTGTCAAATAAAACAAATTACTATTTTTTTTCAAATGTCATAAGAGCATTAGTTTTTGCGACGTGATTGACGTCATTTCGTGAAAGTAATTTTAGCGCCTAGGCATAAAAGTAAAGCACTTTAACGCCTAAAACTTCATTCAGAACCTCGAAATCAGTGGAATAAATTAATAGTTTCAATTAGCCGTAGAAGTTTCTTCACCTAATTTTAATGTAAGCATTCAGAACGTCATAATTAGTGGTAGCAATTTTCAGTTAGTGGAAAAAGTTAACAAACTTTTGACTTTTCCGCTAATTATACTTCAAAATTTGCGAGGAATGTCATTTTGGTCTTTGATTATCGCCCGTCAAGAAAAATTTTGGTTAGAAATCAAAAGTTTATTATTTTATAAGCTAAATATTATGCTTTCTCTATGGATACAACAGACTACCGCAAGCTGTTGCTAGGATATTTTATTAATTTTAATTGTGTTTTTTAGACATTGTGAATGATCATAAACTAAAAAGTATAAAGTGTAATTGAAACCAAAGAATATACCTAGCTAGAAAAAGAATGGACTCTGCCATACTGAAAAATGGTCCTACAGAAGTGGCGCCATGTATTGAGTAGGGCTTGTTTTAAATGGATCGATGCGCGGGCTTTTTAAATGAGCGTATTTATTGAATTTTACTCTAAAATAATTAAATTTGACTATTAAATCTTATTTTTTACACAAATTCAACAATACTAATAACAAGTATCGTTGTGATGTGTAAAAAATAAGATTTAACAGTATAATTTATACAATTATTAAATAAAATTAAAGCCAAACATGTGTAAATATTATTTATTATTTAAAGTTTTTATTTATAAATCAAATACTTAAACATCGGTTATTATAATAAAACAAGACCAACGTAATACCCCCAAAGTTTTGTAAATGGAGTAAATATAAATAGGTACTTAAGTGACAACAATAAAAGACTTACATTATATTTTTAGGGCCACAAACAAAAGGAATTGTCTAATTAAAACACATATTATAACAAATTATAGTTTGAAAAACGTTTTGATAATCATTTGATAATATTATGATTGACGCTATGACAACGACAATATTTTTTGAGAATTTGACAATAGGATGACAATGGCCCTTGGAAACTATGGAAACTACAAAAAAATTCTGAGTTAACGCCATCTGGCAATAACTAGTAGCAACTTCTTAACCTAAAAAATAATTGCACTACCACCTAGCGCCTGAGGCTGGAACTATTTTATTTGAAATTTCCGTGGAAACGGTGGAACCGGTTTTGCTATTTCACTTTCCCGCCCCTGATTGAAACCACTAATTTATTCCACTAACTGGGATTTTCTGAATGAAGTTTAAGCATAAAAGTAAGAAAATATATTATTAAACTGACAGAAAGTGTCAAATTCAACGAGCGTAACCATAGTTTCTCGATATATAATTACATACAAGGTATTAATCTTTTATACTATTTGGAACGTTTAAAATTATTTGAGAAATTATTTGTGCCGTTTGAAAAAAAAATAGCATGTTTTATTCGGAGTAAAAATGACTTTTTATGCCTGTAATATCATTTTTACTCCTAATAGAACAATATACTATTATTCCCGAATAATTGTTTACTATTATTTCCGTATTTAGTTATAAAAATGATTTATATAAATATAAACGTTTATTTTAGGTTCACAAAGATGATGGCAAATCTAAAATGCACCAGAAAACCGCCACATTCGAAGGCCAAGAAAACACTTCAATTGTAGAAGATAACAAAAAGCAACAAATAGAAGCTACCAAAAATGTAATGCAACAAGAAACATCCACAATATCAGCAAATAAACAGGTATTTAGTACTAAGTTTGAATCTTCGGAAAGTTACTCAATGGAAGAAACAGAAGAATATGAAATAGAGGGTTGAATTACATATATGTTTTGTGATGTCCTTTTTGTTACTTCTTTTATGTAAAGAAATATATTCATTTTGTATAAAATACTAAAACTCATTTTGACCGAGTAACATTTTTTTTGGTAAACTATTTTTTCCATTGCATTTTTTAATCATGCTCATTTCTAAATAAATCTTTATTTTGTAGTGCATTTATTTACTTATATAAGGCATTGAATGTGATACTATAGGAAAAGACATATCAGAATACAACAGAATGTATTTTAGTCTCTGTTTATACACCCAAAGTTATATAGAACTGGCGCTTAATTTGTTTCCGCGTAGATTAACTTATTTCCTTCTTTTTATTTTGCACCACTACTAAAATTTTGGACTGTTACCCTTTCTAGGTCTTCGCTTATGTGAACTTTGACATTGTATTGTTCCAATTTAGTTTTCAATAAATGTATTAATAGTACTATTATTGTTCGTTTCTTTTCAGAGACTGAGCTTCAAAATGTTATGATCACGCGCAGAATCACGCGCTCAGTTCTATATAGCTGCTGGTTTTGTCAGTGACTGTCCGTGTCGAATTGTAACGTTTTGAAGCTTCGGTTACATATTACCTTTATATACACACCTTTCCTTCTCTATTTTTCTATTCTATTTACTATGCAAATGTGTGGTGTAATGTTTTAGAGTAGAAAACGGCTATACAGAAAAGCTAAGACACAAAAATCATATACGTTCACAATGATGATTTTGTATATATTTTTTTGGTAGAAAAAAGTTGAATACTAAATTATGGTCCTTTTAAAATATAAAAGTATATAAGATACAGCATAATTTTTATCGTATGTTTTCAATCTAGTGTTTTTCAAACAAAAATAGAACATGTATTGATCATTTAATGAATTAAACAGAAACATAATTTAATAGAGTCCAAATTTATTACATACTTATTATTAATACTTAAATATTTATAAAAATCAGTTAGTGTTTCGTAGTTTTATTACTAGTTTTATGTTTATGTTAATTTTTTTTGCCCTTCTCTCAGATATTGCTAATTTGTTAGTTAATATATTTAGTTACTGCTCTTAGTAGTTATTTTAAAATATTAACCAATTATTAGGGTAAAAACTCATTACTGCAAAATCTAGTAGATCATTTTGCTAATAAAAAAGAATCTGTAATGAACATAAATATATTTTATATAAAATTAGATTTAAAACTGACAGACAAAGCTTTTCGCTAGTTCTTTATTCGAACACAAATTTGCCTAGAGTTTTAACATTAGGAGTTAAAAATATACATTTCGATTTTTTACAGCATTTTCTAAATGTATTTTTTACAGCGAAAGTCTATAATGTTTATATACATACATACTGCCATTACTCGCTGACGAGTATTTGACACGTATCAGAAGATGGTCACGGAAGGCGTTTTCTTTCATGAGCTTTTCTTTGACTGACAAGCCCGATACGTGATGTTATCTGTCTACCGCACTCCGATTTATATATTACAATAAATAAAAACAGAGACAATGGTTAAATTTCAGTTTATTTTTAAAAATTTTCATTTAATTTTTAAATACCTTCGTATAAAAGAATTTGATAACTAAGGTTTTATTAGTTGGTAAGTATTTGATCAAAAACAACAAAGTAATTTTTAAAAAAATATGTATAATGTAAAACAGATAATGAAATTTGTCTACTTTTTTGCAGTATTGAATTCCACTACCTTATTATTTATGATATTTTTTCCTTATTTCTAAAGCAAGTCTCAGGTTTGTCATAATCTATTGACTTACGATTGTCTTTTCGTTAGTTTGGAAACATACAAAATATTAGATAATTATGTTTTCAGAGTTAATTATGTTTTCAAATTTAAATTAAATATTTTTTGTTGTTTAACGAGTGCGTCTCAAAAGTTAGTTTAGGTTTAATTTTTTTATTTTTTCAAATAAAAAAACTAGATTTGGTACGTTAGTATATGACATAAATTAGGATTGATTGACGTATTCAATTCTTTTCGGCTACTTCAGTGAAACAGGATTCACCGGAAATGACTACAACTTTTTATTTTTAAATGGCACTCTCGGTATATTTTTACTTCTTCAACTTTTGACATTTTTGCTTAAAACAAAATTGTATTTTAAATTTCAATCTAGAGTGCCATGAATATGTTAAAAACACTAATTTTTAATCAAGGAGCCTTGGAAGAATAGATTTGATATTTTTAGTGCCTTGTCCCGGCCGGTTAAATGATGCCCAAATCGTATTTTTAATCATATCTTAATTTTTTCAAATGGAACGAGGGTGGCTCATTAGCATATTTGGAAAAGGAATTTTTGGACGAATAATTTGGTACCACACACTTGGTATTTCGAGTCAAATTTTTGTTATGAAGCGCATGTTGCAATTTCAAATAAACCATATTCGGAAATGTCAAAAATAACATATGTCATTCTATTCAGATTGTCATTTTCTATCAAATAAAGTAACAAAATACCGAGAGTGCCATTTAAAAATAAAAAATTGTAGTCATATCCGGTGAAACAGGAAGTGACTGAAAACAATTGAATAATTCAATCAATCGTAATTTATGTCAAATACAAGACATGCCAAATCTCGTTTTTTTATCTGAAAAAATAAAAAAAAAGTTATAGAGGTGGGCCAATTTTGAGACGCACCCGGTATTGGTAGTAATCTAATGAGTCACTTACAATTTCTGTTTAACTTTTAAATTTGGTTATGTTTTTAAGTGAAGAAAAGAAGTGATCTTAAACAATTATTAAATTTAATAATAATTTTCCAAAAGGCATCATTAAAAAAGGATGAAAATGTTTTATTTTTTTTTATAAAAGATTCCTTAATTTGGCATATTACCCTTAACGCGGTGGTAATGACGCACTTTTTAGGTTTAGCTAACTTGACAGTTATATTTAGATTTTTCTTTTTTTAGATTCGAAATTTTTTATTTCAGTTTCATCAGACTCCTATATTAAATGATATAAAATAAAAATAGTAACAAAAAAACAAATTAACTACAACAATAGGATTACTATGTAGAAAAAACACACAATCTACAACAAGATCACAATCGCAGTACAATAAAACTATTTCCAAAGGTAGAGATACAATGAAATAATCTTTGTACATTACAGACTACTTAATATACACTCACCGGGCATGAAAAACGGACACCTTAAAATATTGATGTATTTTAAAGTTTTATAGGTACGAGCATTTGTATCTCGGAAACCGTAATAGATACGAAAATGGTTAAATTGGGGCAAAGTTGCCGTCTTGGGATGTTTACCAAGACGCCATCAAAAAAGTTTTAAAAATTTTAAGGATTGATGAGTTTTTTGGAAAAAATTGATTTTTTTGAAAATGGATTTTATTTTTTCCTGTCGTTACTTTTTAGAAAATCAAAAAACTAATTGCACATTCTCATAGCCACTTTATTGGGGCTATCTGATAGCATTTTTAGATTTTCAAATTAGCTGATAATTTGTGAGATACAGAGGTCGGCTTTTTTTTTTAATGCGGACCTGCATTTTTTATTCAAGTTTTGAAAGAACTCGGTCTCCTGAATACAATGATATGCAACACTTATTTTTTTGTTTCTGACATTTAAACACTATATATTAAACTAATTTCAAATCGGGTTCTGTTTTTTAAAATATTTAATCCTTTCATCGTTACAATATTGATAAACTTTCAAACTTAACAATGACGTGAGGTAAAACATTGAATACGGAAAATCAAATGCAATGAAATAATAATAAAATGTATAAAATAAATAATATAAACAATCAAATCATTTCCCCGTAAGATGGATTGGAAATTGAGCAGTATAATGGCCAACTGGGTTTCTGGACCTGTCGCCAAGGGACAGGACGGGGGGGGACACTACTTGACGTCATTTGTAAAAGTAAAATCAATATATTTCAGTATTTACAATAAATATTACAAAATTCGATCAAAGAGCTATAAATAAGATTGAAAGAAAAATAATTATGTGCATTAGGGAGGGTGGTAACCCTTTCGAACATGTAGAGCGTAGAGCATTAGAAACTAGTTTGAAAAAGTTGATTTTTTTTATAATTACTACGATTAATATTATGCCTATTATTAAATTAGATTAGACGTTGAGACTTCAAATTCACAATAAAAAGAGTTAAAAATAATATCTTTAAATTGCTGACCTGGTTCAATTGGTTCGGTTTTCCTTATTCAGTGTGAATTAGTGCTGATCAATATTGTTGCAATGAATATAATCAGACTAAATAATTTAAAAAACCAGAGTCGGACTTGATATTATTTTTCATAATAATAAAATAGTTTTGTTATTTTTAAGGTACTCAAATCAAAAAAAGTATCAATCATTATACTCAGTACACCGAGCTCTTTTAAAACCTGAAATATAAAATGCAGGTCCGTATTTAAAGAAATTAAGTTGGCCTCTGAATTTCACAAATTATCAGCTAATTTGAAAATCTAAAAATACTGTCAGATAGCCTTAATAAAGTGGCTATGAGAATGTGCTATTAGTTTTTTGATTTTCTAAAAAATAACGACAGGAAAACATAAAATCGATTTTCACAAAAATAAGTTTTTTCCAAAAAACTCAGCAATCCTTGAAATTTCTAAAACTTTTTTGTTGGCATCTTGGTGAACATCTAAAGGAGCAACTTTGCCCCAATTTAACCATCTATTACGGTTTCCGAGATACCAATACTCGTACCTCGAATTTGTAGCATCCTGTATATCGTGTTCTAGCGGACCGATTTTGATGATATTTTAAGCAATTTGTAGGTAAATTATTTGACTTAAATTAAAAAATGTCTCTCTTCCGGTTCCCATCTGTCAACTATACAAGGGAACACAATATGCTGTTATTTTGGTAAAAGTTTGGAACCATCTGTGGAATATGTTAAAAAAGCAAGGAATTTGAAAATAATTTTATCATCTAGATGCATCTTTTTCCGATAGTTTATCTTTTGCTTCATCTCAATAGCTTTATTGTTTTTTAGATATATTCACTTTTAAAGAAGCCACTAACATTTTTTCGTAATTTTTGCATTAAAACCATGCCTTTGCTTTTGGTCCCAGTCAACAGACCTATGAAATGTTGTTTATAAATTATATAATGTCACTGTTATTGAAAAATCATACTATTATTGTCTGTTGGCTGTTGGGCAGTTACTCTAGCAGAGATGGTTTTGCGTCCAAAAGCTGTATCCGCTAGAGTTGCTTTAATTGAAGATGATAGAGATCAAAATTATGTCGCTAACAGATTTACGTGTACACGAAGTACAGTGCAGTCACCTTCTCGAAATAAGTTTATCTGCTAGATGTTCAGCAGCGTTTGTATGAGCACTTCGAATCGAGTCGATCGATTTATTGTAAGTTTATCGCTAAGAAACAAAAGGAAAGGTATGGTTTTAATGTTAAAATTACAAAAAATGTTAACGTTTTTAAATGCGAATATGTTCAACAAAAATAAAACTAAAACATGTCTATACATCTAAGTGTGTGACGGATTCATCTCCCTAAAGAAGTCCTATGGGTATTTCGCCACTGTAAGAAAAATCTACAAAGTAATATAGTTATTTTTGTAAACACTGCTGCGTTTGTATCCAACAGAGACTAACTGTCAGCAGTGGTTTAATAATAAACAAATTTGCCTAACGGACAAAAAATGCTTAACGTTTCGTAAAGTATATCTCTTTCCGTCATCGGAAGCAAAAAAAACACAAAAAACAAAAAAATAGAAATAAAACTATTGAGATGAACCAAAAAACAAAATAACGAGAGAGGATGTGCCTAGATGATAGAGGGATTTGTAAATTCCTTTCTGCCTTAACATATTCCACAGGGTGATTCAAACTTTCACGAAAATATAAACATTTAGTTTTTCTTCGTATATTTGACAGATGCAAACTTTCATTTTTAACTTAGAAAGAGATACTAAAAAGTCAAATAATTTAGCCACATACTGCTTAAAAATCATCAAAATCGGTAGAACAAAATATATTAAACTTGAAAATACATCAAAATTTTAAGGTGTCCCTTTTTCGTGCCGATGAGCGTATTTTATGAACACTTAAATCTTGTCATAGGTTCTATTTGCTTAGTATATATAAAAATATTGATAAATAGTATCAAAATATGACATTTTATTTATATTTTACAATTAAAAATGGTATAAATATAGAAAAGTAAAATTACAACAACAGTACTTCAATAAAAGTTAGTTCAAAAACTTAAACAATTAATATTTACATAGTTTTTCAGAGACTTATTCCTATTGTGGACTCTAGTTGTAAGAGAACGAATTCTGGTAAGTTTGATGTCTCGGTGTCTTTCATGGCTTTTTTACCCATAGCTGTTTACAGTATAAAATGTAAAATGTAGCTGAACTAACAAAACGTTACTTAAATTTAGACTAAAAATATATATTATAAATTTTGTGTCTTTATTAGGACCAACAAGAAAAAGAAACCATCAAGTACGTGCGGAACACATCACCAGCAGGCTTTTATAAACCCCTACCATTGGAACCGACCAAATCCTTCGAACCACTCAAACCTTTTGAACCTTTAAAACCATTCGAGCCAGTGAAAGCTTTTGAACCTCTTAAACCATTCGAGGCACCAAAATCTTTTGAGCTAACTAAGCAGTTAACCGGTACAGTTAATAAAGAACCCATTGTAAAAGAAATTGAAGATATATATTCTGACGCTTTAGCTAAAATAGGTGGTATAGAACTAATCAAGGAACCTGTTAAACAAGAAAACAATATCAGTGTAAATGGATTTAACGGTGTAAATCAGAATCTTAATAATGGTCAAAATGTTCATAGTTTTAGACCGGTAACATTTTCAGCTGGTACACAAGAGCAAACTCAACCAGTAAAACCACCTGAAAAAATAACTGAAATACCAATAGACTCAAATAATAACCAGGAAGCAACTAACTGGTTACCTTCGGGTTATGTTCCAGTTGAACCTCTGTCTCCTTTGAGGTTATCTGACTTAGAACCTCCACTGTCTTCTCCTCAACCTCCACCTGTACCACAGATTACCTTGACAAGCGACAGTAATACAGATATCCCAAGAATATTAAACAGCAATGCAGAGAATAAGGCTGAGATTAAAGAAGAAAATATAAAAAACAGTTTAAAGGAAATTATTTCGGACTTGGACAAATACGCTGAGAAGGATAAGGAATTGAAGCAGGAACCAATAGGTTTTCTACCATCTTTGAATCAAGATATCTTAAAACAGGTATTCTATAGTGAAATTCAAAGTTGTGAGCACGTCGCGTCGTCAGTACAAAATGTTTTGATAATTATTAATAAAATGTAGAATGTAAAATCTATGAGAGGGGGGAAGTTAATAACTAACCTAACCAATTTTACAGACTTGTTATGTCCCCTTTCTTGAGTTATAACTCATCATACAGCTTCAGAACTTTGTTAAAAGCCAGTATCTCAGACGGTTCTCCATCTCCGATATCAGTCGTACCAAAGTTAATGCACAAATGGTTGTCGTCTGCAGTGATGAGGTATTCCCCATTTTCCCCACAGAATCTGCATTCTTAGCTTAAATCGACTGAGGTGTTCATTGATGAGGCAGTGTCCTCTTAAAAAACCGTGACAATTTTAAGATTGTTCTTACTTAAATCAAGGAAAATCTTTGATTTTTCTCGATCGTAAGTTCTAAGAAATTTCTTGGAGTGTCTTAGACTGTTGGAGAATTCCCATTCCAGATTTCGGATGGAGTCTTCCAAGTTCTAGAGTTCCGCTTTAAGTTATAATAGACAGTTAAAGCAAGGCACAATACGTATACGTATCTCTCGACACGTAACGCAGAAACCTACGTTACGTCTGCCGTTGCGTTGTCGTGTAAACAAGAGTTAAAGCAAGTATTTTGACGTACGTATCGCAAATTAATGGTACATTTGTAATTCTAAATTATTTTGTGAAACAATTTATTCGATTTTAAAACAGAAAATGTATAGTTATTATTCCATTGATTCCACATTAAATTTATAAAAGTAATATCGAAAAATGAAAAAATTATAAATGGAAATTATTTTATTACAGAAAGTATTCCTTACAACTTAAAATGCTCTTAGTAATAAAAAATATTAGAAAACAGATACAGTTTTATAATTATTTATTACATTCCATCTTTTAGAATCCTCATATGGATTTTGGCTAAGAACTAGCATTTAATTAAATATATTCCAAAATGAGTTTATTATGATTAATATTTTCATACAAATTTATTGCATTAAAATTTGCCCAGTTCTGTTACACTGGCCCAAAAATTTATGAAACAACTTAATTACTAGCCAGTTGTGGAAACGAGTTGTTTGTGAATTTGTACGTTTGGCATCATTCAGGTGAAAATCGAAACTCCTTCGGTTCGATACGTTTGCATTTTGCACGTACGTAAAGGCACGTAAAGATACGTATCACGTATCCGTAAACACAAGTGAATTTCTCACTGCGCAAGCCGTACGTGTCAAACGATACGTTTACGTCTATGTCTTTGGCCGTGCTTTAACGGTCTAATAATTAATAAAGAGCTACGTTAAGTTTTTCTAATTTATTCGTTGTGTCATTATATATTATTCTACTGTTTTTGATAGTATCTTAGAGTACTTATTTGATATTTCTTTATCTATTAGTTTTCTATGTTTACACTAATTGTTCTCTATGCCCTATGCGAACTGTGGTCTCCACTTTTTTTCCATCTCCTATCATTAAATTCTATCACATTTCTTCTTAGTTATTTTTAGTTAACGAGAACTAAATTATATTAACAATTTACATCAATTTTTCGTATTCTTTTTTTGTTGACACATACATGACAGTATACTATACTAGTTAAAAATGATGTAATTACATGTTAAGCAATCATATTTAATTTTACTTTAAAAAAATTAAATGTAACGAAACACATAAATATTAAAATTAAATGGAATATGTTAAAATACAATTATTAAATAAAAGTGCTTCTTCAGATATTTCGAGGGATTTAGAAAACAAAAAAAACATTTTTATTTTCGTAATTAGGAACTCTACACTTCTCGAAAGTTTGAGTTTTCCATTAAAATACACCAGTGTGAATTTAAATAGTAATCTAAAATACAAATGTACTTAAGAAAACATGAATAATTACACCATTAATTAAAGAAAGTGCAGTTGCCAAAATCGCACACCAAAATATTCACAAAATAGAATTAAAAACAGATTTCGACAAATTTTAAAAATAAATGAATATTAATATGAATATTAATTGAATATTATGACTATACGTCAATAATTGACTGTCATTATAAAGACTGGTAGCGCCTCTGGCGACTGTTCGCAAAGTTTAGCTTTTATTCCCAGTTATTGTCATTAAAGAAAATGTTCTAAAGGGGGATGTTTTGTAAATGATTATACCATTGGCTGGCCATATGACCTGTGGCTTAATATTCTTTCCTATTTTGATATCGTGATTTATATATTATTAGATAAAATATTAAGAGTTATCAGGAATTATTTATTATTTTAAAAAACTAAACTGAAGAGAAATATGAACTAAAACTGGAATTTAATTAGCATGTTAATTATTTTTTTCCAAGAAATTTTATATTTTTCTTACAAAATAGTTATCAAAGGCTGATGATGTGTTTACAACTTATTTTTTATATTTTTAAGTTTGGAGAAATCATCTAATTTGCTGACTTAACCAAACACTGTGTGACAATAGTGCGAACGTCATACTCATACATGTTGCATGATCTTTTTCTAGAATCATATCTATAACACATATCCCTATAAGAACTCAAACAAAAGCCAGAATGACAGTTGGGTTGCCAGATTGCCGACAGGTGTACCAACCAAACCACCAAAATATCGCCCTATGTCCGTACCACCCCATGCATTTAATAGTTTGTATTCCTCACAGGTAGTGACATATCACACATATCATAAAAAAAACATTACATTTTAAAGGGATGTTATCAATTTAATATTTTTTTTATAATAGCTTTTTTTCGTTTTCCTGTTATTACCGATTCTGAACCGCCCTAGAACTGTGATGCGTATGCGCAGAAGGAAATATAAAGACATTATTTCATTTGCGCATGCGCTGCAGAGTTCTAGGACGGTTCAGAATCGGTAATAACAGGAAAACGAAAAAAGCTAATATGTATAATTAATTTTCTTCTTTAGACAGATGTCTGTTACAACTCCAATGAGACATACAGGGTCCGGCAATATTGCGCCGGTCATCTGTAGCTCCTAGAATAAAAAAACTTTGGAATTTTATTTAAGGGTAAACCTAAAGCATGTACTAGGATGTATTTCAGGAAAATATTAAAACTTCTATAGGGTGGCTCAAAGAAGTGTGAGTGAATCGGGATGATTTTTTTATAAATGGAACACCCTGTATATTATTGCACTTTTGGCTTCCTTTCTGATCACTTTACATAATCCTAAAATATTATTAAATATGTTTTGATAGTTTCAGTGATATTAATAAATAAATAAAAATTATATATTTTTTAGCCTTTTTTAAAAAAATTATTAATAAAACAAGAACTGTCCTGAAGTCAAAACTATAATAGGTATTTACTTTAGATGGTATGTACTTACTTTGCTATAAATATGGAAATCATAAATTATACAGGATGTTCAAAATTTTACGCCAAACTCTCTAAAATAAATTTTCTTCATATTTTTTAAATGGAACACCCTTTATATTATTTTTTCAATAGATGGAGAATTAAAAAATAAACATTTTTTGTATTTAGAGCATTTTAAAATTTTTAACAGTTTCGCAGATATTTGCGGTTTTATATTTCATATGGCTTTTCCACAGTAAGTTTTTACACAGTTTTATCAAAGCCATCCAATGATTTTTATCTCGTATTTTACCATTGAAAGCGCCATATGAAATAATACTGCATGTATCTGCAAAACTATTAACAATTTTGAAATACTTTAAATACAAAAAAATGTTTATTCTTTAACTCTCTGTCTAATAAAAAAAATAATATACAGGGTGTTCCATTTAAAAAAAAACAAAGAAAAAATATTTTATATTTTAGAAAGTTTGGCGTAGAATACTGAACATCCTGTATTATGTACGATTACCATATTTATAGCAAAGTAAGAACAAATGATTTAAAGTAAATACCTAATATAGTGCTGTTTTCAGAACAGTTCTTGTATTTTTAATATATTTAAAGAAGGGCTGAAAAATATATATTTTTTATTCATTTTTAATATCTCTGAAACTACCGAAATATATTTACTCATATCTTAGGATTATGTAAAGTGATCTAAAAGGAAGCCAAAGATGGAATAATATACAGGGTGTTCCATTTAAAAAAAACATCCAGATCCTCACACATTTTTTTGAGCCACCCTATAGAAGTTAAAATATTTTCTTGAGATACATTCTCATACATACTTTAGATTTACACTTAAACAATGTTTCCAAGTTTTTTATTCTAGGAACCACAGATGCCCGACGCACTATTGCCGGACCCTGTATAGGATGTAAAAATATAGTGTACCAAACTTCAGTGGGTAATAATGCAGATAAAAATATAAGAAAAAAATTCTATAAACATAATTAATTAATATAATTATTAAAATGTTTGTATTTTGAGATGTCATATATTAAATACAAAATTGATAATATCTGTTTTAATTGCGATGAGAAATATAATTAATTTATCTAGCCTCATTTTCAGATAAATCAAGAGCTTATTGACAAATATGGAGATGCTGAAAACCAACAGGTGAGTAATTTTATGTCAAGTGAAAAAAAGAGCCAGAGAGATTCTATTTTTTGTCATGTGAAATATTTTATCCCTTTATTAAAAATAAATATTGCCGCTAAATACAAGGTGTCTAAGGAATAAGTGTAAGTATTTTAACTGGGAGTATAGTTCACCCCAGAATCAGGCCCATGAGGTGTTTTTTCGCAAAAAAAAAAATTGAAAATTCGGAAAATTCCTAAATTTTTTCAAAACAACAACAACAATTTCTTGATAATATGGCAACATAGGTAGTAGATTAAATTTACAAGAAAGAAAATCCAGAAAAGATCCAGTGGTTCTCAACATTTTAGTAAAAAATTTATTTTTTTTGAAATTTTCAAAGTAAAATAACTCCGTTATTTTGGACTTATTTGAAAAACAACAAAGGGAGATCTACCACCCCTTAAAATACTTGCACTTATTTCTGGGACACCCTGTATATTGGCAAATGATCAAAATATTCTCCATAATGCATTGTTAATTTCAAACGGCCACTACACTGTTCGCCGAATAGGTCGAACGAAGTAGGTCAAAGACGAATGTTGAAGAGGGTTACCCCCAGTAGGGTATTTCGTGTATCTTCGTCTATTAAAAATAAGCAGGGACTAGGCAAAGTTAGGTGAGCAAATACGAAATATCCATCTTCATTATTCGATCTTGACCTACTTCGGGTTATTTCGGGAATAGAGTAGAGACAATTTTAATCAATTAATTTTTATAAAAGAATATTAAGATATCTCTATTTGAACAAAAAAACGTTTTAGTTTTTTTACGTTTATCGTATATTCATATGATTGTTTGTTTATTATTTTCTCAGAGATATACTTTTTATTTTTTTCTGAAATTTATTTATTTCGAAAAAAAACTCAAATTTAGTGATGAGATGATCCTTTGCATAAGAAGGCTTTACAAATTAAGATCATTGGGCATTGTAATCACAAAGAATGCACTTTATAAAAATATTTATATTTAAAATACATATACATCTATACACGCTCTTCTATAAAGTTACTCAAAAATAAATTGCTACATTGTTGTTTCGAGCTTGATAAAACAGTTACTGTTTAACACATCAGTACCAAAGTGAAATAAACATTCTAGAACTTTCATTTTAATTTTTGAAGTCCATTTTCTAATTACTCGGTTATTTTTAAACCTATAATTATTGAAATATTAGATTTATGAACAACTTATTTTGAACTTAAATCAAATATAAAACAGTTTTTTAAATAAATTACTAGTGATGGGAAAACCCGATTAATTATTGAGTACTCGAGTTTCAAGCGATTGCAATAATCTAGCGATCGCTTGGGCGATATATCGCTCGTATTTAAAAATACCGTTTTTCGTCCGTCGCTTGTTGTAAGTACTCGTTAACGCCAAGCGCCAAGCAGTAATTTGCGTGGGGGTGATGAATGGTAAGTATCAAGCGACGAGCGACGAATAGTTCGCTTGATTTCGTTCATTTCAAAGCATTGTCGGTGTAGGTCGTAAAGTTTTGTCACTCAGATACGCAACGGATAACGTCATATAAATTTGCTACCTGCAATGTATGTAGAAAATTCGCTCGGATTTTTATCGAGTATGTCACATTAAAATCGGATTTCAATTTATTTCATTCTAGGATCGCTTGCGTTCGTTACTCGGAACTCGTCACTTGCATCAGTCGTTTATAATCGAGCGATGTCGGTTATTTCAATAATCGAGTACTCTAGCGAATTTTTGCTCGAGTTATTCCATCACTATAAATTACTAATACATTTACAAATACCAACATTTTTTTGAGCGACTTAACATAATTTTTTGCATATTAAAAAAGAAAGATTAACAGTAGTTAACTTATATTAAGCTTAACTTATATTAAAAAAAATAAAAATAAAAGTATATTAAGTACTGGTATAATATGAAAATATTTAACAGGAAATGGCAAAACAGGAATGTATGTTGCAATTTGGAACCAATTTATTATCTTTATTAAGTTTAAATTTACTACCCTAAATAGCAAAACTGTCAAAATCAATTTCCGTCACTATAGACCCGTGGACATAACATACTAAACTAATCAAAGATGTTTGGGCCAAACTGCATTTACGTGACCGACTATTTTTTTTATTGGTACAGATTGGTAAAACGAGAAAGAGCAAAGGGTGGTTGGTGGTTGGTAGAACGAGAAAAAGCAACCAGTGGTGCAACTAGGGGTTGTTTAGCCCCCCCCCCTCCCCAGGAGAATGATGCGGGTCGTATAAAATTGGCTTTATCCTTAGAAATATTATCGTATAGTGACCTAAGCCCCCCAAAAGACTTTAGCCCCCCCAAAACTATGTGTCTAGTTGCGCCCCTATGCCAATTTTGGACTTAAGATAGTTTGCTTCTAGGGTACAGATTAGAAATAATTAGTTTCAATTCGTTTCAATTAAGTCAATTCGGTCAATATTTTCTCTAAACTTGGAAAACTTGGTTCTGTCAAAATGAACAAAAGTAGAACTTACTGTAAGTTTCACTGAAAGTATGAATATACTGTTCAGTTTCACTGAAAACGTGTCGACGTTCATTATTTGTCCATTTGTAACATTGAATCAGTTAGACTGCTTCAGTTAGATTGACAGAATGAATGATTAATTTTATGTATTAATCTCGGTATTAATATAATTGAAAATCCAACAATAGCTTTAATTAATGTTCACTATATTTCTGTTACTTTCTAACGTTTATTTTATTAAAACAAATTTAAAGCTTAATATATTGAATGTTTAAATAACATAGATATACTACTGACGAAATAAGATCAAAGTTTATGGCTTCGATGAAAATTTTACTGCCTAACATTAACTGACATCTACTTTTAACAAGTCGAACGATTATCTGTGTCAAGCACCTCCTACGTAAGACTAAAAAATATAAGACGTCACAGACAGTGCAACTTTAAAGCAATTTTTAACAAGTTTTTTTCGCTGGAAGTCTGGAATAATTGACACACATTTATGACACGTGTATTTTTTGACCGAACAAAAAGTTATAAATATCGTGCAGATGGTTTTTTCAAAATGGAAGAAAGATGAACTATTTTTAACCAACATAATAAAAACCAGCACTAAGTTTTTTTTTAGAACTTTGTGAATTGCGATTGTGTTTAATTGAGAAAAACAGCGACATTATTTTGATTGGAAATGCTTTTTAAAATTTTGGATTTTTAATTTGTGATTTTACCTATAAAAAATACATTAATACTATAATAGTCGGGCTTCATTTTTTTCACTACTGCTTCAATGTCCTGGCATTATAATACTATATATTTTCTCATTTGTAAATATTAAATAAGTACACTCACCGGTACCTACGAAAAACGGGCACCTTAAAATTTTCATGTATTTTGAAGTTTTATGTATTTTATTCTAGTTGGCAGATTTTGACGTATTTTAAGCAGTTTCTAGCTAAATTATTTGACTTTTCAATATTTCTTTTTAAATTAAAAATAAAAGTTGCCATATGTAAATGATACGAGGGAAAACAAGATGTTGATATTTTGGTGAAAGTTTGTAACGTCCTGTGGAGTACGTTAACAAAGCAAAGAATTTGAAAATAATTTTGTCTTCTAGGTGTATCTTTTCTCGATAGTTTGTTTTTCGATTCACCTCAATCGTTTTATTTTTTTTTGAGATATTCGCTTTTGAAGAAGACACTAACCTTTTTTCGTATTTTTTACATTAAAACCATGCCTTTGCTTTTGGTTCTAGTCATCACACGTATAAAATAGTGTTTATGATTTATGCAATGTCACTGCTTTCGAAAAATCATATATTATTATTGTCTGTTGGGCAGTTACTATATAGCGATATGGCTTTGAATCCAAAAGTTGATCTCTACCATGATCCATTAAAATAGCAATAATTCAACTTAAAATCATCTCTACTAGAGTAAACGTCAATAAAAAAAAAAAACAATATGACTTTTCAATGACAGTGACATGTTTCGTGAAACAATATGAATACTCTTTTATAGGTGTGCTGATGACCGGAAAATCAATGCTATATTATTTTTTCAAAAAGCAAATATCAGGAATAAAAATAAAGCTAATTGAGATGAATCAAAAAACAAACTTGGTTCTAAGACGTACCTAGATGATAAAATAATTTTTAAATTCCTTGCTTTTTTAACATATTCCATAGAGTGTTTCAAACTTTCACGAAAATATCTACATTTTGTTTTCCCTTGTATAATTGGCAGATGGAAACTTTCATTTTTAATTTAGAAAAAGATACTAAAAAGCCAAATATTAATATTGTAAATCAACTAACTATATAATATTGTAACTTATAAATCATCAAAATAGGGCCACAAGAACAAAATTTATTAAATTTTAAAATACATCAAAATTTTAGGGTGCCGGTTCTTCGTGCCGGTGAGTGTATTTATAAACATTTTTATTTTACATTTTATAATAGAATTATGATAAAACAATTAAAATGAAAATACAAAGTTTAAGAATTCTAAATAAGGTTATCAGGTGAAAGAATGGTAAGTCATCGATCTAAATCGGAATTTCTGGATATTGTCGTTATTGTCGTCATTGAAACAGTACATTAATTCACACTGAGCTCCATAAAATACAAATTTCAATAAAATTTGCAGATTGTCAAAAGTTTTCATTAATAAATAATGTCTATACCTTAATGGCGTATTATTTTTTTGAAAAATCAATGGAAAGAAGTTTGGCTTTTTCGCCACTGGGAGAGAAACCTACAAAAAAAATGTACTTATTGTAAAAAGCACTGCGCTGAGTTTAAAAAAATGATCAGCTCCAAAAATCCGTAACGTTTTCTTTTCGAACGTGGTGGTTTCTTTCAAGGTGAGAATGGAATTATAAAACGCATTGATGAACCGCATCGACGAACAGCATCAGCGCATAGTGAGTATGGGGCTAAACCCAAGAACGGTAAACTAATAGGATTGCTCATCCTCATAAGACGTACGTTCGCCTC